AAGAACCGTAGTAGTTGGGAGAGAAGTGGGCATTGCTGTCCAACACCTCCAACATGGGCCAGTTGTTAAGGAGTCTGCAGCTCTTTCGGGCTATGTTGCTAGCCTTTCCTGTGAACTTGGCAAACTGCTTCCCTCCAAACTTGTGCTGCCATCTGTAAAGTAGGGATCATGCAACACTTAAATTATTTTGCTAGCACGGAATGGAAAATCCTACATCCTGGAAAAAGTTTGCCTGTGATTCTACTGTGGATCAAATTCAAGTTTGGTGTTGCTTTAAAGCCAGTAACTTGGCACCAGGAGTGAACTTGTCTAAAGGATTTTTATTGGCCAAACTTTTTATATCTTCCATGAATTCCTAGAACATCTTATCAATCAGCTGATCAGAGATGTCGGGGCAGAGAGTGAGAATGCACTGGATTTTAATTTAACATTTAATTAACATTTAATTAACATTAAGTGTTTACAAACCACTGCACCCTGCTATTCTAATAACAACTTTTAATATTGCCAGCTCCTAGAAGATAGGACATGGGACGTCCTTGTTCTAGCAAGGGGCTAACCTGGAAAGAAAGCCTGGCTCCCTGTAGCATCCTTTCAAGTTAATCAGCTGTGTATATAAACTGCAAGCAGCTAATAGCCAAGTTCTACTGGAAACATGGTGTTGCTAAAGTTGTGTGTGTTCATGTAAATTGCACAATAGTGGTGTTTTGTTTTGTTTTAAATAACAGATTTATATATAAATATACTCCTTAAAGCTGTTACTAAATACAAAGGTTGGGATGAGTTAATTTAAAGATGTGTGGGAACTGCCTAGTCTCTGACAGCTTTTGAGATGCTGTTTCATGAGGTGGCCTTAGATTATGGCATTGTGGTGTTGGAGCATCTCCTTTTCCACATTGCAGAATTACTGGGTACTTACTCTGGTACTTACAGCTGAGGGACTGAGGTCAGGAACCTCCTGTACTAGCAGTACTGGCATCTAAGGGGATATCTGGCTCTCCCAAAGCCTTATATTACAGAGTATTTGAAACAAAGTGTATCAGTTGTGAAAGAATTTGTAAGTCCCATGCATTAGAGAAACTCTTTCAAAGCCTGTTTCTTTAATGTGTGAATTCCTTGAAATATGTAACTTTGTACACATTTCCACTTGCTAAATGATGTATTTTTTTGTTTTGTTTTCCTTTCAAAAAAAATGTTTATACCTGCAGTATACAATGCTGGTGCTTGTTGTGTTTTTAAGGAGCTCTTAGCAAACTTTACCACGGAAAGGAAGTCATCTATAGCAATAGCTTCCTCAAGCCCTTATCCTCTTCAGCCTGTAGGAGCAAAATGGAATTAACCCTTTCAGGCAATACATCTACATGCTCCATTTGTGTTTCATTCCATTCCCTTTGGGGCAGCTGGGAGGAGGTGGGGTGCCTGTACTCAGTATGAAGACCAAGCAAGGAGCTGGGTGTGGGCGTGGTGTCCTGCTGTCAGGTGTCTTATTTTTAAGGCAAAAGAACAAAGAGGTCAGTATTTGTCCCTTGCTCTTTTACTTTTTAACTTCATAGAATCATAGAAAGGTTTGGACTGGAAGGGA